TGGGAATTAACACAAATTAAATATGTACTTATTTAAGGGACTTAAGGGATTACCTGGAAAACTTCAAAAGCACTAACATCTGAAATGGTATCCTTTATGGTGCCAAAGACATCTAACCATGACTAACTCAAAAGATGTGCTTACTAAAACCTAAACATGTCTTTAAATGTTCATGAAAATTATAGAAAGTAAAACACCAAAGGTGGGAGGGGATATCTGAAGGAAAATTACTCACCTGAAACTGAAGTTCTTCATGAATATTGCCTTTGGAGATCCACACTCTTGACAGAATGCATATTGGCATCACAAGTCCCAAAACGTTCTAGAGACCAATGACCTGTGGGGCCATGCATATGCCCTTTGGTGAATCTTTACTATAACCTTTTAACCAGTCCTTTTGCCCAGATCACTTAACTATCGGGCACTTCTCTATAAAATAGCTAGCCACAGAGAATGCACACAACTTTTCCAACCCAAAAACCTGATGCAGACTCAAAAATAGGATTAAAAAGTCATCTCACAAGCTCTCCATTTAAATATTCATTCACTAAAAACTAGGCTTGTTCTATATAATCCTCTTAGCCTTGAAAAATGAGTACTCTTTTGCTGAAACTACTTCCCCACACTAATAGACTACAACACCCTGTAAATATTATAATCTGGATATGTTTTTCAGCAAAGAAGCTGAACTACCAAATTTAAGAGGAATATGCCACATTACATTAAACCCTTACAGCATGATTCTTAACGTATTATTCAAAATGAGTAATTTTACTAAGATAACCAGGCGATGAAACAGCTACGTGTAACTCTGTATTTATATAACCAAAATATTAACTAAGAACAAGAAATTGATTTTAATACCTGTGTTCAGGATAGAAATATATGGAAGGAAAACAGAATCATTTTTTTTTGTTTTAAAATAGGCAGTATGGAAAGTGCAGACTCCCTAATAAATAGACATACAAGGATTTCTGAAGAGATGCAAGAAGAGTGAATACCTAAATCAAGGGAGACTGAATTCACAAACCAGTATTTTACTACATGAAAAGTTAATTCCCAGTACCTAATTCCAATGGTTTCTCCCAACTAAAGCAGTCACTTCCAATCAATGTGAATTCCATGTGTTGATTTACCACTCCACAATTGATTCAGCGAGTCCGCTCCAGTTAAGAAGAGCAATTGGACTTAAGCCCACATACCCTGGCCAGCTTTCAGCTCTGCTGTCACAATTTCCCTCTCTCCAACTCAACCCCTCTCCAAAAGAGAACAATCTATACCCTGTCATCCATTTGCCTTTTTTTCCAGCAGCAAATCAATGACAACACATCTAGTGCTAAGCAGTCAAAGATAAAGAAACACAAAGAATGGGGAAGGAATGGGTCACTCCATTTCTCCTTTTCTATGATCATAGACTAATGGAATACCATCTCTAAACTCTGTACCTACTTTCCCAGCATGCTTGCTAAAAGATATTTTTCTAACAGCCTGTTAAGAGGCTGTTTCCATTTTAGCTGTGGAGGAGGGAGTACTACAGGCTAGAAACTACTGTAAGTGTATTTATAAGGCTGCTACACAGAGTGCTGCAAACTCATTACATGCTGCTTAATAAATCCCCCAAAAATATCACCCCTTTCTATTTCTAAAACTAGCTAAACAAAGAACAGTCTTTCAAAACCTTAAGATAATAGATTGACTTACTTGTCCTGCAATAGCACTGAAGAATGTCCACAAGGGATCGGCAGCGGCGGCAGCAGCATAGGCACCAGCATAAACAGAATATCCAGAAGATCCACCATGGGCCACACTTGGTACTCCTCCAGGGACTGGCTGGCCCATTGCCATTTGCATTGGCACCTGACCGCGGTATGCACCATACTTTCGGAAAGAGAAGAAACATATTTCACCATATTTACCAGCTTAGTAGAAACATATAATGCCAGTGATTAATGATCTTAATTTTATTGGATCAAAGTGCCTTACATATAGAAAATAATGTGTTCTATACTATTATTACCGTATCTTTTTGTCACGAGAATACTTCAAGCAAAAAATGGTGTTTGTTTGCTGTGTCCCTGTTCACAAGATTTCACCTCAATTTCTGTCCTTGTGATAATTGGATTTTGAAAAATTTGGCTTGTTGTGGAAACAAGAATTGGAGATAAAGCTTCAGCTGAGACACCTTTTTCCCATGATAACTTTAAGGAATGAATTTCCCTTCTAAGGGATAGATTTCTCTCATTCCCTGTTGTCTCACTCTCATTATTAATTATGAGTTGATTGCAAGTCAGATGTTTGTAACTTGGGAACTTCCTGTACTTTGACCATCACTTTTAAAGTTAGTCTAATCCTACATACGCTCACTGAGAAATATGTCCTACTATCCAACAGGGCTTATTCCTAATAAACCAAGTTAATTTTCTCAACTTACCAATTTCTATATTTTCTAATCATGTCCAAAAATACGAGACAGAAAATGTTTTTGTTGTTATGTGCCTCCAAGTAATTCTTGACATCTTGTAACCCTAAAATGAACCTATCTCAAGGCTTTTTAGCAGAATTTGCTGAGAGAATGTGACTTGTCCAAGCTAAAAGCCAGTATGTTTCCATGGCTGAGCAAGGATTTCAACCCTGTCTTAGTCAAACACTGAAATCACTACACAAGACTAGAAACAGTTTACCAGAGCACTACCAAGACCCTTGCAAAACTCATGTCATAAAAGTTTCTGTAAGGGTCTTGATGATGCATAACTTTGACAAGTAAGAAATAGTTACTTACTAAGGAACAGACCTAACTGAAGTAATTTATATGAATCCATCTGGAAGCTAAGCAGAGTTAGCTCTAGTTAGTACTTGGATTTGAGGCTGCCAATGAATACTAGGGGCTGTGGGCTATATTTCAGAGGAAGGAACTGGCAAAACCGGCTCTGAATAACCCTTGCCTAAGAACACCTTATGAAATACATAGGGTCATCATAAGCTGTCAGGCAACCTGAAAGCATATTTAGTAGCTAGTCAACCATATTGGTACATAATGTGTCTCAGGGCAATCTCCTAGCCACTCTTGTCTTAACTGAATTGTAATTTATAAAGTTGGTATCAGCTGGGGTATGGTTTCAGAACTTGGCATGGTTTCAGATGGCCACTTGGAGTGCCTCTGGTGCCAGAGTGAGGTCTTCCATTGTACATGTGATAGGGCTCAGGTTGCATTGTAGTAGGTGGTCTATGGTTTGCTCTTCTCCACTCTCGCATGTTGCGGACTCCACTTTGTGGCCCCATTTCTTAAGCATCCCTGGATGTCCCATTATGTACAATAGCGAAGTGAAATGTTTTGCCATTTAAAACAAGAAAATCAGGATATGCTTTTTTGACATTTATTTTCTAAAATATTTTCGTGGATGGTTGAATGTGTGGATACAGAGGGAAATAAGCAGCCTTTAAGAAAGATCTAAAGACTTGGCTTTTCCGATGTGCCTTTGGAGAGTGACCATATATTCCAGTCCTGTTATTTCCCTCATATTGCACTTTCCCCCACCTTATTGAAAGTCTAATTCCACTGTTCGGTCCCCTATGATCTCCTCCCCCACAAATGTACCTTTTCATTGCTACCTCATCCAGAGTTTATCATTTTATGTTGTGCATTTGGCCCGCCCACTGTTTTATTTTTCATTATGTTATTCTGTACTGTTTATTTTACTTGATTGGTTTATTTCTTTTATTGTGATATTTTGTTGTTTATATTTTATGTTGCTGTAATGTATTGCTGGGCTTGGCCTCATGTAAGCTGCTCCAAGTCCCATTTGGGGAGATGGTGGCGGGTATAAATAAAAATTATTATTATTATTATTATTATTATTATAAAAAACCACTAGATGAGTCCACAGCAGACACTCTGACGCCTATTGTATTGGATCACACATTGGACACTTCCCAAGTGTCTAGGACTGTGTGATGTATTGGCGAATAATGCGTGCAGATCCCAGTAAGGTGGCCTTTTACAGATGGTAATCTTGTCAGCGCCAAAGGTCTTTAGGCACTGCACCGTGTGCCTATCACCACTGGGACTATCTTTACTGGCTTGTGCCACAGTCTTTGCAGAATGGTTGCAATGTCAGTCCAGCCTTAATTTCACCAAGGGTTTTAACAGGGATGAGGAACTGAGTCTGGATCCTACTACCAAGCCCTGTTGCTTCATAGGTGGAGAGTAGCAGGTTTTTTTTTCAACGAAGGTATGAGCTTCTCTCTGTGTTTTCATGCCACTAGAGACATACACACTAGGCCAGTAATTCTCAACCTGTGGGTCCCCAGATGTTTTGGCCTTCAACTCCCAGAAATCCTAACAGCTGGTAAACTGACTGGGATTTCTGGGAGTTGTAGGCCAAAACACCTGGGGACCCACAGGTTGAGAACCACTGCTCTAGATGGTTTAGACCTCAACTTCCCCAAAATCTTGACTACTGCCCATGCTGAACTGAGCTTCTGGAAGTTTGATCTTTAAATTCTCATATCGTGTCAGCTTTTCCAGTTGTTTCTCTTCAATCCTGCTGTCACCTGGGATTGCAACATCGACGATCCATAGTTTGTTTTTAACACGATCATGGGGTCAGAAGTGTTTATTATTATTATTACTACTACATTTCTGTGTATGAACCCACRCGTTCTCTTCGATCATCTGGAGAGGCCCTACTCGCGCTCCCACCTGCATCGCAAGCACGATTGGTGGGGACAAGAGAGAGGGCCTTCTCGGTGGTGGCCCCTCAACTCTGGAACTCACTTCCTAAGGACATTAGGCATGCCCAACTCTGGCAGTCTTTAGGAGGAGCTTCAAAACGTGGTTGTATCAGTGTGCCTTCCCAGAATAATAAACCCTTAGCATTATGTCCTCTAAAAGCACTTTATACTGATTTAGGACTGCTTGTACATTTCCCCCAACGCCCCCCTCCTTGTTCATRCCCAGCATTGTTTTTTTTAACTTTAATTACATTTGGCCCAGCCATATATTTTAAATGTGTTTTGTGCTATTGTTCAATGTTTACGCTATTTGTGTATGAGATTTATTTAATTGCTTTGTATTAGTATTTGTATTTTGCTTTGTATTGTGGTTGTTATTGCTTGTATTGATGTATTGTGGGCTCAGCCTCATGTAAGCCACACCGAGTCCCTTGGGAGATGGTAGCAGGGTATAAATAAAGTATTTTATTATTATTAGGATCCTGAGAAGAATGGTTGCAGTGTCAGTCCAGCCTTAATCTCACCAAGGGTTTTAACAGGGATGGGGAACTGAGTCTGGATCCTACTACCAGGCCCTGTTGCTTCATAGGTGGAGAGTAGCAGTTTTTTTTCTTTTTCAACGAAGGTTTGAGCTTCACTCCGTGTTTTGCTGCCACTAGAGACATACACACTAGGCCAGTGGTTCTCAACCTCTGGGTCCCCAGATGTTTTGGCCTTCAACTCCCAGAAATCCTAACAGCTGGTGAACTCGCGTGGATTTCTGGGCGTTGTAGGCCAAAACACCCAGGGACTCACAGGTTGAGAACCACTGCTCTTAGATGGTTTAGACCTCAACTTCCCCAAAATCTTGACTACTGGCCATGCTGAATTGAGCTTCTGAAAGTTCGATCTTTAAATCCTCATATCGTGTCATCTTTTCCAGTTGTTTCTCTTCAATCCTGCTGTCACCTGGGATTGCAACATCGATGATCCACAGTTTGTTTTTTAACACGATCATGAGGTCAGGAGTGTTTATTATTATTATTATTATTATTATTAGGATCCTGAGAAGAATGGTTGTAGTGTCAGCCAAGCACTTTCCCCCACCTTACTGAAAGTGTAATTCAGGGGTCCACAAACTTTTTAAACAGAGGGCCAGGTCACAGTCCCTCAAACTGTTGGAGGGCCGAATTATAATTTGAAAAAAATGAAAGAATTCCCATGCACACTGCACATATCTTATTTGTAGTGCAAAAACACTTAAAATACAATAATTAAAACGAAGAACAATTTTAAGCAATATAAACTTATTAGTATTTCAGTGGGAAGTGTGGGTCTGCTTTTGGCTGATGAGATAGGATTGTTGTTGTTGTTGTGTGCTTTCAAGTCGTTTCAGACTTAGGTTGACCCTGAAGGAGGGCCGGGTAAATGACCTTGGAGGGCCCCTGGTCTAATTCCACTGTTCAGTCCCCTATGATCTCCTCCCCCACAAATGTACCTTTTCATTGCTATCTGACCCAGAGTTTTATCATTTTATGTTGTGCACTTGGCCCGCCCACTGTTTTATTTTTAATTATGTTATTTTGTACTGTTTATTTTACTTGATTGGTTTATTTCTTTAATTGTGATATTATTTTTTTGTTTATATTTTATGTTGCTGTAATGTATCACTGGGCTTGGCCTCATGTAAGCTGCTCTGAGTCCCTTTTGGGGAGATGGTGGCAGAGTATAAATAAAGATGATGATGATGATTGTTAGGCTCCTGAGAAGAATGGTTGCAGTGTCAGTCCAGCCTTAATCTCACCAAGGGTTTTAACAGGGATGGGGAACTGAGTCTGGATCCTACTACCAGGCCTTGTTGCTTCATAGCTGAGAGAGCAGCAGTTTTTTTTTTCTTTTTCAACGAAGGTTTGCGCTTCACTCCGTGTTTTGCTGCCACTAGAGACATACACAGTAGGCCCTGGGGTTTGGTATCCCTCGGCTCAAGCCCTATTATATACAAACGTGTGGTAAAAAGGTGCTCCTTATATAAAACGTTGGCTTTGTGATTTTTTTTTGAAGTCGTGGATGCAGAATCCGTGGTTATGGAGGGCCAACAGGAAAAGAAGTGGAGGGAAAAAGGCTTTAAAATGGCAACCCTTGTTGGGGCTGGCTCGTCCTTCCTTCCCTCTCCCTCGCCTCCATGCCCCAATGCCTTCGGGAAGAGAGACGGAGAAAAGGAAAATGGACGGCCCACGGCCTGCAAAAAAGGGTTGCGAAAGGCCCCTCCTTCCTCCTCCTCATCCCCTTGGAGCCACCTGAGGGACCCGCCAGACAGGTAGAGCGCGGGAAGAAAGCCCCGAAGGAGGAGGAGAGGGAAAACAGCTGGGCCGCGGCGCCACCGAGAAGGGAGCGAGGGAGGGAGGCGGGCGAGACGGAAAGGGCCGCCCTCCAATCACCGCCGCGATTCTTACTCACCGCTCCGAAACCTGGATACGTCATGGCGACGTTACGGGAGCAGACCGTGAGCAGAGCGAGGGGGGAGGGGAGGAAGCGGCGGCGCGGGATCGAAGGAGCCCGGCGGGGTTCAAATCTCCCTCAGCGGCCCCCGTGCGATGGCCCCCCTTCCAACGGCGGCGCCTGCCTCCTTTCTTTAGGCCCCGTCGTCTGAAGAAGCGGAAGTGGCCTTCTCGCATCCGTCCTCCGGGATAAGCGGGTTCCGATTGGCTGACGCGGTCGCCCGCTTCCTGTCACGATAGGCCAGTGAAGGGGAGGAGGCGGAGCCAGGAGGAGGAAGTCGGGGGACAGGAGGCAGAACGAAGCGGAAGCGGAAGTGGAGGGGCGGGAAAAAGGAGAGAAGTCGGTCGTCATTGTGGGACGCTGATTGACAAGGAAGCCTTCTGCCTAGAAGAGCCGCAGAAGTAAGAAACTGAAGAGGAGGAGTGGGGGCCCTTCCACACAGCTACATAAAACCCCACGTTTTCTGCTTTGAATTGAAATATGTAGCAGTATGGACTCATAACCAAGTTCAAAGCAGATGTGGGATTTTCTGCCTTGATATTCTGGGATAAAGAGCTGTGTGGAAAGCCCCCCCCCCCCCCCCCAAGAATATCAAGGCAGAAAATCTCACAATATCTGCTTTGAACTGGGTTATTTGAGTCCACACTCAGATAATGTGGGATTATTTTTTTGCCTTGATATTCTGGGATATAGGGCTGTGTGGAAAGCCCCCCAGAATATCAAGGCAGAAAATCCCACAATATCTACTTCGAACTGGGTTATTTGAGTCCACACTTGGATAATGTGGGATTTTAATTTAATTTAATTTTTTGCTTTGATATTCTGGGATATAGGGCTGTGTGGAAAGTCCCCCAGAATATCGAGGCAGAAAATCCCACAATATCTGCTTTGAACTAGCTTATTAGAGTCCACACTCAGATAATGTGTGATTTTTTTGCTTTGATATTCTGGGATATAGGGCTGTTGTGAAAGGGCTCTGGATTATCCCAAGTTCACATCACCATATGTATACCAGTTCAGTGTGGATTTTATACAGCTGTGTGGAAGAGGCCTCAGAGGAACAAGGGAAGCAAGAGATAATATTAGGAGGGAATCCTGTTCCTTTCCATTTTTAATAGAGTGTCAGTCTTAATGTAAATTCATCCAGCAGGAGCCGTCTAGCCAGAAGAGTGCCTTGGGGCCCTTCCACACTGTCACTATATTCCAGGATCTCATCCCAAATTATCTGTTTATCCCAGGATATCTGACAGCGGGGATTCATATATCCCACTTTAAAGTAGATGATGTGGGATTAGATCCTGGGATATAGGGCCTGTCAGGAAGGGCCCTCGGGGCTCTTCCACACAGCCATATAACCCAGAATAACAAGGCAGAAAATCCCACAATATCTGATTTGAACTGGGATATCTGAGGCCTCTTCCACACAGCAGAATAACATCCCACATTATTAGGAATATATGGCAGTGTGGACTTAGATAACCAAGTTCTAAGTAGATATTGTGGGATTTTTCACCTTTTTGTTCTGGGTTATATAGCAGTGTGAAAGGACCCTGAGTCCACACTGCCATATATCCCAGTTCACAGCAGGTAATGTCGGATTTTATTCAGCTGTGTGCATGGGGTCTGAGTTTTCGGTCTGCTAAGTCGGCGGGGGGCCTGGGTTGAAGATCAGGAGCTCACCCTGACCTGGCTTTGACCTGTCAACCTTTCAGTCGGCAAGATTTACTGCAGCTGGTGATTAACCTGCTGTGCTAAAGCTGGCCCTATGGGAACTGTTTATCAGCTGTACCAGAACTGGAAAGAAATGTTTTGAGCACAAACACACACAAAGATGCCAGCTTAGTAGTGATGGACCTACAGAATAATGCATCTGGGGTCAAGGCAGGGACTGTTAACGCTGTTACAGCAAAGCAGTGTACCAGCCAAGCATTATGGACATGCCTGGAGAAACACCCAGGTTGCAAGTGAAAATCCTGTAATTGTTGCTTGTCCTTCACTTCCTGAACCCACAGCCACTCTTCCCACCTGGGTGCCTCTCTCTCAACTCCCTTCTTCAGATTGTAAGGTGAGGCAGCCCTTCGAGCTCCTTTCCATGGGGCACAGAGAACCATGAACAATCTTTGGGGGGAATGGGAAGCATTTAACCATCCCTTCAATTTCTGACAAACTCCACCCCACAATGCCTCCCTGGTCTGTTGGCTGGGTTCAGGAAAAAAGAGGCACAAGGAAGTCTAGTGCTCTATTTTAGTTTGAACACTATAAATATTCTGATTCAGCTGTTGTGCTGAAGCCAGAAATGTCTATGTCCAAACTGGATTCAGGAAAGAAGAGGCACAAGGAAGCACACCAAAGAATTTCAGAAGAAAATCATTCTGTGCTTTATAGTTTATAGCAAAGCCACTGATTGTGCAGACCATGAAACGCTACGAATCACACCTTTGTTTAATTAAAGTATTATGTTTCATCTAAGAATTCCAAATTTAAAAAAAAACCCTTGTAAGAAATTCATTAGCAATTATGTAAGGAAACTGCTTTGTAAATAAAGGGAAATGAAAGTGATAAGAATAAGAAAGCCTTGAAATCTGCTAAATAATGTAACATGTTTTTACAATAGTTGGGAGAGTATTTGTAGATTAATCTGGTTTTCATGTTGCAATAAAAACCATTTTTTCAACTTTGCCTGCATGCTTACTATTAAGATAATCACACTGAACATAATGGGTAATTGTAGTTTCCAATTTATGGCAAGTTTTTTGTGGAGAAAAGTTCATTACTTGACCAAGTCCGCCCAGTGGGTTTTCATAGTTTAGTTCAATGGTTCTCATCCTTCCTAATGCTCCAACCCCTTAATACAGTTCCACATGTTGTGGTGACCCCCAACCATAAAGTATTTCAGTTGCTACTTCATAACTGTAATTTTGCAGCTGTTATGAATCGTAATGTAAATATCTGATATGTAGGATGTATTTTCATTCACTGGACTAAATTTGGCACAAAATTGAAAATTGGTGGGATTGGGGGATTGATTTTATCATTTGGGAGTTTTAGTTGCTGGGATGTATAGTTAACCTACAATCAAAGAGCATTCTGAACAACCAATGATAGAATTGAACCAAACTTGGCACCCAGAACTCCCATCACCATCAAAAAATACCGGAGGGATTTGGGAGGAATTGACAGTGATTTAGGGGAGATTTAGTTCACCTACCTCCGGAGAACATTGTTAATCCAAACAACAACGGATCTGGACCAAATTTGGCAGAAATACCCGATACGCTGAAATGTGAATACTGGTGGGGTTGGGAGGGATTGATTTTGTCATTTGGGAGTTGTAGTTGCTGGGATTTCTAGTTCACCAACAATCAAAGAGCACTCTGAACCTAGGCCAGAATGGATCTGCCCCATACTTGGCACACTACCTACATGGTCAACATTGAATACTCATGGGGGGTGGGGGCATTTTGAATTCTTGCAGTTGTAGTTCATCAACACTCAGAGAGCACTCTGAACCAAACTGGTGATGTAACTAGTAAACTCGCCACATATACCCAACATGTCAAACCTTGAATAATGGAAGGGTTTTGAGGGGACTGACCTCAGAGGTTGGGAGTTATAGTTCACCTG